ATCCTCACATGGTGAAAGGAGGTCTCTTGGGCTTTTTTGAAGGGCACTAATTCTGTCCATGGAAGCTCTGCCCTAATGACTTAATCACCTCCCAAAGGCCCCATCTCTGTTTTTTCCCCTCATCTCTTAATACTATCACATTAGGCACTAGGGCATATGGGCATTAGATTTTCAATATAAATTTTGGAGAGGACACAAATATTCAATTTATAGCAGGTACTTACCTCATAGAGTTGTTATAAGTATGAAATGAGATAAGACATGTAAAGGGCTTGGCATAGTACCTAGCACATAATAAGCAAACAATAAGTGTGAGCTCTCATTATTATTACTGTGCCCAAAAGAGGCTGCCACTGCGGCTAAGTCACGTCAGTCGTGTTTGACTCTGTGTGACCACATAGACAACAGCCCCTCCGGGGAAGAATATTGGAGTGGGTTGCCATTTCCTTCTCCAGTGCACGAAAGTGAAAAGTGAAAGTGAAGTCACTCAGTCGTGTCCAACTCTTCGTGACCCCATGGACTGTAGCCTACCAGGCTCCTCTGTCCATGGGATTTCCCAGGCAAGAGTACTGGAGTGGGTTGCCATTGCCTTCACCAAAAGAGGCATTTATTAGTATATTCATTGCAGTATTATTCATAATATCAAATGGAAACAAACAAACAAAAAAACCACCAAAATATCCTAGAAACAACCTAAATATCCATCAATAAGGATTTGATTTACTAAATTATGCCATACGTTGTAGTGCTAGGCAGCCATTAAAAAGAATAAGAGATACATCTAGAGGGATCAGTGTGGATGAATTTCTAAGTTATGAACTGTATAAAATGTATAATTCCATTTGTGTAAATAAAAAAGGAAATATGCCTCTCTCCACACACAAACACACACATATGTATGTGGTTTTTTTTTTTTTTGAAAGCTTATTCAGTATCCTGAAAATAGTGTTTCTCTTTGGAGAAAGAGTCAGATAGGGATAGAGGGAAAGATGGAAAAGAGAGTTCTGATTTTCATTGCATACTTTTATGTACTGTTTGATCTATTATCATGTCAGTTCAATTCAGTCACTCAGTCAAGTCTGACTGTTTGCGACCCCAAGGACTGCAACATACCAGGCTTCCCTGTCCATGACCAACTCCTGGAGCTTGCTCAAACTCATATCTATTGAGTCAGTAATGCCATCCAACCATCTCATCCTCTGTTGTTCCTTTCTCCTCCTGCTCTCAATCATTCCCAGCATCAGGGTCTTTTCCAATGAGTCAGTTCTTCACATCAGGTGGCCAGGGTATTGGAGCTTCAGCTTCAATCCTTCCAATGAATATTCAAGGCTGATTTCCTTTAGGATTGACTGGTTTGATCTCCTTGCAGTCCAAGGGACTCTCAAGAGTCTTCTCCAACACCACAGTTCAAAAGCATCATTTCTTCAGCACTCAGCTTTCTTTATGGTTCAACTCTCACATCTGTATATGACTACTGGAAAACCCATAGCTTTGACTCTATGGATCTAGGTCAAATATAACTCGAGTACAGACTCGAGTTGCACGTCTGTACTTGATCTTGTGTGTGTGTGTGTGTGTGTGTGTGTGTGTGTATTTAAAGAAATGATCGGATAAACTGATCCTGTCACTGTTTGCAATTCTTCAATAGCTTCCCACCTCACTCTGCAGAAAAGCCCAAGTCCTTCCAATGGCCTGCAAGGTCCTCATGATTAGATCTCTTGCTCTGCCATCGACTTTCCAACTTTCTATCCTACCTTTTACTTCCTCACTCCTACTGCTTACATGGCTTCTTCTCTGCTTCACAGACAAACCAGCCAGAGTCCGACCTCAGGACTTGCTCGGGCTGCTTCCCTTGCCTTTGAAGGTATTCAAATAGCTCACTCCTTCAGTGGCTTTAAGTCTTAAGCTCAAATATCACACTCTCAATGAGGCCTCCTCTGCCCCTCTCCCATTTAAAATGGCAACTCCTGACATTTCTATCCCCATATCCTGCTTTTTTTCCCCCATGGTATTTATAACAATCTCTTATATTATATATTTTCCTTACTAGTTCATGACCTATCTCTCTCCACTATCATGTAAGATTCATGAAGACAGGGATTTGGGTCTATTTGGTTCATATTCATTGTTCTATCTCTAGTGCCTAGTGTCTCACAAATAGTAGGTACTTAAAAAATATTTGTTGAATGAATGAATAAAAGATTTTCAGGCAAGAAGCAGCCTAGGAACTCAGCCCTTCTTCTTCCTTATCTCAGCTTTATTTTGGGATTCTCTCTTAATTCTCTTCCTCTTGAATTTCCAGCTTCTTCTTCATCCTTTTGCCTGGCACAAAGTTCAAAAAATATTTGTTGAAGAATGAATTTATATATTCATTCTGAGATATGTGATTGGTAACTAAAGAGTAAAAACCCAGGAGTATTTGAATTTTAGTAGTGATCAAAACTTATTGGCAAAGGGATTAGCTGGCTTCTTGGCACCACCAAGATCTCCCCACAGTAACGGGTACATTTGCCACAAACTCCAGGAATCCACCACCTTCTCTTTCCCCTCCCACTTATTTAATGACCCTCATGACTTCCCTGATGGCTCAAATGGTAAAGAATCTGCCTGCAATGTGGGAGACCTGGGTTTGATTCCTGGGTTGGGAAGATGCCCTGGAGAAGGGAACAGTTACCCACTCTGGTATTCTGGCCTGGAGAATTCCATGGACAGGGGAGCCTGGCAGGCTATAGTCCATGGGGTCCCCAAGAGTCGGACATGACTGAGTGACTTTCACAACAGTCACTACAAACAGTGGGCCTAGGAGTAGCTTTAAGATGACTATTTGATTTTTACAGTTTCCAGGGCCTAAAGAGAGTACATAACAGGAAAGACAAACTCACAGTGCAAACTATGAACATTCTTAAAGAAATACACTCACACAAATAGGTGTATATACATGTAAATATGTGAATACACGTTTACATACACCAGTTGTCAAATACATACCAGGACAATTTCTAAGCAACTCCCCACAAACAAACAGCAATATTTTATATTTTTAAAACAATAAAACCCTTGATGAATTCTAAGCCTTGCCAAGTCTTGTATCTTTTATGCATCAATAAAAAGGTAATTCTAGATCCAGTCATTCCTAGATCATCACTCAAGTTGGTTTCTTCTCCAAAGAGGCAGAAGACAGGATGAGCTCCACTAATGGAATTATAGCTGGATATGTGTGGGAGGGGCTGGCATCACAGTCAACCCATTCCCTTTTATTTAGAGGACAGATAACCACTGTGTGTGTGTGCGTGTGTGTGTGTGTGTGTGTGTGTGAAGGCATAATTTATCTTGGGTTGTGGGGTTTTAGGGTCTTAGGATCCTCTCAGCTCCTATCCATTGTCCATACTTTCCTTCCTCCAGCTCTGACTCAAATACCTTCTCTAATACTCTTGTGGAGACTGGTCATTTCTGGGAGGTGGGAATAGTGGCTGCAGAGCTTAGAGTCTGATGTGAAGTTGTACTATGTGAAAATGAAGCTGAGATAAGGAAAAAGGAGGGCTGAGTTCCTAGGCTGCTCCTTCTTGCCTGAAAATCTTTTATTCATTCATTCAACAAATATTTTTTAAGTACCTACAAGCAAGACCTCATGACAGTATCCCCCCAAACAAATGACTAGCAATAAAGTCATAAGCATAAAAGAGCTCAGAGAGGAGAAAAATGGTGGTGTCAAATCCATCAGCTAGGAAAACCAAGGCATTGGTCTGAAAGAAGGTCCTATTGTTCAGGCATCAAGTCATTTGATGCTTATAGCAAAGAGAATCTACTTGTAACTCAGTGGGCCTCAAACTTTAACATGCTCATTACAAGTCAGTTTTGTAGGCCTCATTCCCATATGTTCTTATTTAGTTAAGCTGAGGTAGGGCCTATGAATCTGCATGTATGAAAAGACCACAAGTGATGCCAATACTACCGGTTCTTCAAGGACCACACTTTGAGAACCAAAGCTTTTAATGTTTTATCTCACCACTTCTCAAGTTTTAAAGTACGTATGAATCACTTGAGGATCATATTAAAATGCAAATTCTAATTTATCAGGTCTTGGGTGGGGCCCAGATTTCTACATTTCTAATGAGCTACTTGGGTATGGTGGTGCTACTGTGGTGGTGGTGCTGACCCATAGACCACACTGGCTACTGAGAATTTAGCATATGTCCCCAGTGATGGCTAATTTTATAACTGGGCTATAGAACACCCAGAGATTTGCCCAGGCATTATTCTGGATATGTCTGTGGGGAGGGGGTTTTCAATAAGATTAATATTTGAATCAGAAGACTGTGTAAAGCAGATTGCCCTCCCTAATGTAGGTGGACCTCATCCAGTCAGTTGAAGGCCTGAATGGAACAAAAATGTTCAGTAAGAGGGAACTCCTCCTGCCTGACTAATGAGCTAGGATGACTGTCTTTTCTCATCTTTAGACTCAGACTGATATACTAAACCTTCTTGGTTCTGAAGCATGCTGAGTGTCAGACTAACACTTATATTATCATCTCTCTTGGTTCTCAGGTCTTTGGATTCAAACCACAACTACACTATCAACTCTCTTGCATCTCCAAGTTGCTGACTATAGATCATGGGACTCCTCAGTCTCAGTTTCTGCATGATCCAATTCCTCATACTAAATTTTCATCTATATCTATGTGCATGCTCAGTCTCTCAGTCAAGTCTGACTCTTTGTGACCCCATGGACTGCAGCCTGCCAGGCTCCTCTGTCCATTGGATTCTCCAGGTAAGAATACTGGAGCGGGTAGCCATTTCCTCCTCCAGGGGATCTTCTTGACCCAAGGATAGAACCCATGTCTATGGTGTCTCCTGAATTAGCAGGTGAATTCTTTACCGCTGAACCACCTGGAAAGCCCATCTATACCTGTGTCTATATCTATTTTGTCTATCAGTTCTATTTATCTGGAGAACTCTAAAACACACCACTAATTCCAATTTGAAAATCCAGTCTAGGGACTTCCCTGGTGGTCCAGTGGTTAAGAATCTGCACTTTCACTGCAGGGAGCACAGGTTCGATTCCTGGTCAGGGAACTAAGATCCTGCATGCTGCAGTGTGATTCCCCCCACCCAACCCCCCAAAAAAAGAAAATCCAGTCTCCCAGTGACTGGGAGCTATACATCAATGGCAGGAGAGATCAGTATAAACTGATTAGCATTGTGGACACCTAAAGGGTCACACTCTTTGGAATTAGAAGCAGAGGCCAAAATCTGCTATGGGTTTCTGATTCCTGGACCCCATAAGCAAAAACAACTAGTGTTTACTGAACTCTCACAGTGTGTCAGGAATTATGGCAAATATTTACATGAATTATCTTATTTGAAACTTCCAACAGGTACTACTATTATTATAGTTGTTTTATGAATAAGAAAATGGAGACTCAAAGAGTTACATTAAGTTAAGTAAGAGAGACACAATCTTACTCCCTTTTATTTCCAAAAGAAATTTTGGTAAGTGCTTCTAGGGGGATTTGAATCCAGGTTGTCTCACAGCAAGCCCAAGCTTCTCTCCATAATATGACACTATTTTCTCTGCTAGTCACTTATGCCATTGCCTGATTCATATGATGGGTTGATGGAAGATTCAAGAGACACATCTGTCTTCTGGTTTCCCAGGAGACACTCTGAAAAAACTAACTTTGGTTTCCCTCTTCTCCAATGATCATAGTTTGTTTACATATTAAATATGGTGACAGCTCTCAGATCTACATGGCTCATTTTTGAGCCAGGGCTATATGTTGGGTTTCGTTGGTATAGGTAGTTTACAACTGCTAATAGTACCTTCCTCTAGCTCATATCAGCTCTAGTTTGGCTATTTTCAGTAAGCCAACAGCATTTATGGGCCTTGTGTACATGCCTTAATATTGCAATTATTGGTAGATGCCAGCTTCCAGAATATCTAGCACTTTGGATGATGGACTAGGGCCTGTAAATTTCAGTCCCAGGCAATGCTTCCTATCTGTGTAGGTGTCAGCAAGCAGAGTGATGGACCACATGAAACACACAGTTCTGAAAGTGGCTCAAGTCCAGATCCAATAAGAGCTTTCTTAGAAGCTCCCCTTTTCAAAATAACCCATAATTCTCAGAGGAGAGAAGTATGGTTATTTATAAAGCCAAAACAACAACTACAAAAAACCTCTCTCTGAGCAGATGAAACCTTCTGCCACAGAGGTAAAGCTCAAAACTAAAACACTGGCCAAGGAGCTATTGCAGTGCCCAACCATCAGCCAATCCAAGGGCAAATCAGATGGCACACAAGACAGGGGACAGAGTCAAACCATTTAAGTCAACTTGGCCCTTAACTGTCAGAATGAAAAATATTTTGGTTCAACTGAGAAACAGCATTAAGATCATAAAGTACGATGGTTCATTTATGGTGGTTGTTGATAACTTTGTTTAAGGATCATGTGTGTGTGTGTTCTTACTTCTTTTCTTGTGGGCCTCCTCTACTCCCCATGAAATCATTGCTGCATGAACTCAAAATTCTTTCAGGCTGGAAGTCTGAGTGGCTCTGGTCTAGCGTTCACCCTTTGTGCAGAGTAACGGTTTCATGAGGCAAAGGAACTGGGGCCAGGCATAAGCTCTGAATACACTTTTGTGGCTTCCACTGAAGATGGCTATGATGTCAATGCCTCAATTTCTAGGCGTTTGCATTTGTTTTCTAATTCTCACCTTATCTCTGCTGAACTGAGGGATTTGTCCACAACTGGCCAGCTGAGACAGGGAAACACTGGGTTGTCAAGAGTCCAGGTATAGGGGTGGCAGCATCCATCCTGATTCAGGATTCTAGGGATCGCCTGTGGAGGTGGAGGAGAGGCAGACTGAAAGTGAAAGACACAAGGGGGAAGATCAGTTACTGAGGCTGATATGTCCTCCTGGCTTGAGACTGCCCTTCCCCTTTGATGTCTGTAACAGAAATGGCAGTACAACAACTATATGATTTTTTAAAGTTTTTTTTTAATGTGGATCATTTTTAAGGTCTTTACTGAATTTGTTACAATATTGTTTCTGTTTTATGTTTTGTGTGATTTTTTTTTTGGCTGAGATGTATGTGGTATCTTAGCTCCCCCACCAGGGATAGAACGCAGTCCCCTCCTGCATTGGAAAGCTAAGTCTTAGCCCATGGACTGCCAGGGAAGTCCCACTACTACCATGCAATGTCAACGTCTCAGGCTGTGTGAGGACATGCACCCTGGCCCCCCAGCACTAACCAAATTGGCAGGTGAAAAGATGGATCCAAGGGAAAGGTGCCTCAAAACCCCGCGTGGGTTTCTTTGAGCGGTTTGGGGACTGGCAAGGCATCAGTGGAAAAATGACTGGGGACAAATCTGCATGTCACCTCAGCTTGCAGATTTACATTTATTTGCTTTTATTTTGATTTCATTTTGTAATGGCAAAAAACCCTTGAGTGGCTTCCTTAATTAAACAAATTAAGGCCAGCTTACACCTTTGTACAAGAGAAAGAGCCTTTCAGGATCTTTTGTGTGATGTCTCTTTAGTGTCCCCTTGCCTACCCCCCACCCCCTCTCGCTGGGAAGAAAGGGAAGGGAACCCCATCTCTCCTCAAAGACTTCAGGTTAAGGATATCTGACCAAGTAGCTAGGTCTAACCACAGCCTCCCGGCAAGAAAGGACACTGCAGGCCCCAAGGAGCAGCTCAGTGAGATGGAAGGGGAGTCAGCCATTCTGGAGGATTTCTTTTCTTCTGCTCCCCACTCTGCTTCTGGCTTCTGCATCTGCTGTTTTTGTTTGCCTTGGGATGCCAGGCACAACCTCAGTCCCTTCTTTGTTTGCAAAAAGAAGTCTACTCATCTCTGCCCGTGTGCTCAGTCGCTCAGTCGTGTCTGACTCTTTGCAACCTCATGCACTGTAGCCCACCAGGCTCCTCTGTCCATGGGATTTCCCAGGCAAGAATACTGGAGAGGGTTGCCATGCCCTCCTTCAGGGGAACTTCCCGACTCAGGGATGGAACTCACGTCTCCTCCATTGACAAGCTGATTCTTCACTGCTGAGCCACCGGGGAAGGCCCTACTCATCTCTAGACTTCACTGATTTTGGGGGGCAGTCCCAGGAAGGGGGGTCCCAGCATGGAGGCTTCTGCCATGTCCCTTGTGTTCTTCTTCCTTTCCTCTCTCTTCTGCTTTTTTCACTCCTCCTCCCCGTAGATTGTGCTCCTGCCTCTCATGCAATTTCTTCTCATTCTATTAGACCATCTAGCAGGTCAATCATCTAGGTCTTAACAGAATTAAGAATGTTTCTTTTGTGTACCAGTAACCATTCTCTTTAAAAGAAGATCAGGATTATAAATCACTTTATTTTTTTTGGGGGGGGGGTCATTCATCCTCATATTTTCCCATAAGACAGATGGAAAATTGAGGTCACAGCCACCTAGCAATCCAACAGTGTCACTCGGCTCCAGACACAAGTCCCCTGCATACCAGCCTGCTTCTGTTTTCTTCAGAGCATGCTCTCTCTCTCTCTTTTTTTTTTTGGTAGAAGCTTTGCCAACTGTACATATTCTTTTTTTTTTTCAATTCTACATATTCTTTATTTTTTTGGCTGTGCTTGGTGTTTGCTGTGGCATGTGGGCTCCTCCTTGCAGAGTGCAGGCTTCTCTAGTGACCTGCAGGCTCCAGAGCTTGCGGAGTCAGTGGTTGTGGTGTGTGGGCTCTGTAGTAGTGGCATGTGGGCTTATCTAGTTGTGGCCTGAGGCTTAGTTGCCTCATGGCATTTGGGAACTTAGTTCCCCGACCAGGGATCAAACTCATGTCCCCTGCACTGGCTGGCAGATTCTTAACCACTGGACCACAAGGGGTGTCTCCTCAGTTGTACATATTCTAATGTGAAAACTTTTATGGATGGTGGTAGATGATCTTGCTATCCCCTAGGCTCCATGCTTCTCTAGAATCTCAAGGGAAAACACCATCTCCTCAAAAGATAGGAGCTCTTAGAATGCAGCCAAAAACCCTTCCAGGATCCGTGAGAGCTGTCCAACTTGTTTGGGGTGTGTTTCCCACTTTTCAAACCCCTCTTCAATACTGGCTGAGTTGGGGAGAGATGACTGGAAAAGGCAGAGAAACGAACTCTGTCCCTGAGGATCTTTTTTAAAGCCAAATAAACACATACTGTTGTTGTTTAGCCGCTAAGGCTCAGACAGTAAAGAATCTGCCTGCAATGCAAGAAATGCTGGTTCCATCCCTGGGTTGGGAAGATCCCCTGGAGGAGGAAATGGTAACCTACTCCAATATTCTTGCCTGGGAAATCCCATGGGTAGAGGAGCCTGGCAGGCTACATACAGTCCATGGAGTCACAAAAGAGTTGGACACGACTGAGCAACTGAACAATGAAAGCAACAACCACCACCTACCGCTGTGGTCAAGGCAGGCAACCCAGTTCTAGGCTTGTTAGAGGAAAGACCTGTCCCTTCCCCTTGCACAAAGAATGCTTGCCTCTGAATTCCGTCTGCAGGGAGACACAACAGAGCTTGGGGAGGCCCAGAGCGATGGCAAATGCAGATTGTGGTCCAGCATCTAGAAGATACTATCAGAGACCTCTAGAGGTTTTGAAAGGGATACATTTAGAAAACCACAAATAAATGTGATTTTATGCAACAGAAAACAAATATATGAAATCCATTATCCTCAAGATTTAGTGAAACTGAAAGTACGTGTAAATACCTTTCAAAAAGGGTTAGAAGCATCCATAAATTTATGCATAGCTGGTTACTAAGGGCAACTAGCATGTTTTCATAGGAAGCTGGAAACAGATGATACTTTAGAGATCAGCTCATCTCTAGCACTCCCGCTCCCTGCCCAACCTCTGCAGTGAGGGACCATCAGAAAGGGGCCTCAGGGAGCCAAAGGTGGAACCAGATGGGAAAAGGGTGATTCCTAGTGGTCTCCCAGGTAACCCCCATCCCCACCCTCAATCTTTTTCCTGAAAGTTAAGTTTTAGAGAGGAGAGAGGGAATAAACCGGCTTAAACACCTCTAATTAGCTAGAGGAGCCACAGAGACTCTTTATATGTGGGGCTTGG